ATTGTCCAAATCAGGCAATCTTGGTGGCATCTGAAAGGTAGATTGGTCCTCTATATATTGATGAAAGTTTCATATCCATATTTGTTTTACTTAGGAAATTATGTGCAGAAGAAGGCACAAGTTCTTGTTAAACTACTTGCTAATTTTGTGTTATTCTATTGTCCTTTCCATTACAGGTTCCTTCCTGCGAAAAGATGGTTCTCTCTGTTGCAACATAAAAGACCTGAAAATTGCCCAAATCTGGAAGTCGTTGTGGCATCTGAAAGGGCAAATGTTCCCCTATTTATTGATGTAAGTTTCATATCCATACTTCCTTCAATTGGGAAGTTATCGTAAGAAGAAGGCTTTGGTTGTTGTACTGCTGCTTGCTAATTTTGTGCAATTCCCGTGTCCCTTCCCGCGGAATGATGGCTCTCTATGTGAAAGCATAAAAAGACCTTAAAATTGTCCAAATTAGGCCCTCTTGGTGGCATTTGAAAGGGCGAGTGTTTCTCTATATATTGATGTAAGTTTCATATCCATATTTGTTTTACTTAGGAAACTATATGTATAAAAAGGCATACGTTCTTGTCAAAGTACTTGCTAATTTTGTGCTTTTCCATTGCCTCTTTCCATTACAGATTCCTTCCTGAGTAATGATGGCTCTCTCTGTTGCAACATAAAAGACCTGAAAATTGCCCAAATCTGGAAGTCGTTGTGGCATCTGAAAGGGCAAAAGTTCCCCTATTTATTGATGTTAGTTTCATATCCATATATGCTTTAGTCGGGAAATTATCGTAAGAAGAAGGCTTTGGTTGTTGTCCTGCTGCTTGCTAATTTTGTGCAAATCCCGTGTCCCATCCCGCGCAATGATGGCTCTCTATGTTGCAGCATAAAAGACCTGAAAATTGTCCAAATCTCAAAGTCGTTGTGGCATCTGAAAGGGCAAATGTTCCCCTATTTATTGATGTAAGTTTCATATCCATACTTCCTTCAATTGGGAAGTTATCGTAAGAAGAAGGCTTTGGTTGTTGTACTGCTGCTTGCTAATTTTGTGCAATTCCCGTGTCCCTTCCCGCGGAGTGATAGCTCTCTATGTTGAAGCATAAAAGACCTGAAAATTTTCCAAATCGGGCAATCTTGGTGGCATCTGGAAGGTAGATTTGTCTTCTTTATATTGATGTAAGTTTCATATCCATATTTTTTTTTACTTAGGAAATTATATGCAGAAGAAGGCTTGGGTTCGTGTTAAAATACTTACTATGTTTGTGCTATTCAATTGCCTTTTTCCTCTACAGATTCCTTCCTTCGCAATGATGGCTCTCTCTGTTGCAACATAAGAGAACTGAAAATTGTCCAAATTAGGCAATCTTTGTGGCATCTGAAAGGGCGAATGTTCCCCTATTCATTTATGTAAGTTCATATCCATACTTGGTTCAGTCGGGAAGTTATCGTAAGAAGAAGGCTTTGGTTGTTGTCCTGCTGCTTGCTAATTTTGTGCAATTCCCGTGTCCCATCCCGCGCAATGATGGCTCTCTATGTTGCAGCATAAAAGACCTGAAAATTGTCCAAATCTCAAAGTCGTTTTTGCTTCTGAAAGTGCAAATGTTCCCCCAATTATTGATGTAAGTTTCATATCCATACTTCCTTCAATTGGGAAGTTATCGTAAGAAGAAGGCTTTGGTTGTTGTCCTGCTCCATGCTAATTTTGTGCAATTCCCGTGTCCCTTCCCGCGCAATGATGGCTCTCCATGTTGAAGCATAAAAGGCCTGAAAAATGTCCAAATCAGGCTATCTTAGTGGCATCTGGAAGGTAGATTGATCCTCTATACATTGATGTAAGTTTCATATCCATATTTTCTTTACTTAGGAAATTATATGCAGAAGAAGGCATACGTTCTTGTTTATCTACTTGCTAATTTTGTGTTATTCCATTGCCTCTTTCCATTACAGATTCCTTCCGGCGCACTGATGGCTCTCTCTGTTGCAACATAAAAGACCTAAGATATGTCCAAGTCTGGCAGTCGTTGTGGCTACTGAAAGGGCAAATGTTCCCC